ATGTACCACCTTGTCTTGGGGCCAGCTGATTTTGACTGAAACATGTACAAACTGTGAGCTAAATAAACATTTCCACCTTTAACTTTGCATGTCAGGTATTTTGTCTTGCAATGAGAGAAAAGTTACTAAGACATGGACCATTTCTTCACCTCTACAGATACACTTGTAATAAATTAAAAATATTCCGTGTGTTTGAGTTCAGTTTCCATAAATCACCAAAGAATTAAAGATAACTGGAGAAAGCCAGACTGTGGTGGCGCCTATAATCCCAGCACTCAGGAGGCTCAGGCAAGAGGATCCTTGTGAGTTTAAGGCCATCCTGGGCTACCAAATGAGTTTGAGGCCAGCCTGAGCTGGATAGTGAAACCCTGTCTCAAAAAGACAAAAAAAAAAAAAAAACAAGATAACTAGAGAAGGCTTCCCTTATACTGAACTAGAATGAATTCATGGAAATGATGAATGAACAGCAGAGGGTGAAAACCCAAGTCTCTGTTTACCTTGTGCCTAGAGATAGGAGGTAGGGCATGGCAAACCTGGTTGGGAAATAAAGGAGACCTGGTAATCCCAAGATGCCAGGGCAGCACCAAATAATTCCCCAGACTCCATATGAAGAATTTTTTTCAGATTCTCATGAGATATAGATGGTACAAAAGAGACAAGCCACCAGGAAGAGCCTGCTATTGTGACTCTTCACGGTATCACATCCTACGTCTCCTACACCTAGGATATACTCTTATTTTTCCTCTTTCTAACTTTCCCTCTTTTGTTTGGCCCAAGTTGGCTCTACAGAACCAGTTTTTCTCTTACCCTGTCACCCTTAATTTTTCAAATAAACTTTTGGCTCTATTTTTGATTTTTCTCATTGAATTTTTTGTTTAAGGCAGGAAGGACCTGGAATACTTTTAACTGCAAGCCATTTCTAAAGGAACCAACTCACTAAGTCATCTCTCTCCTGTAACAATGTCTTGTATCACACTCTAGAGCTTCAAACAATCACAAGTTTCTTTCATCTTGAAAATCCATTTCTTGCAAAAAGGGCTATTTGGCTCATTTTATTTTAATTGTCATTCCCCACCAATGACTCATTCCTAATTCTCTAAATGTGTCTTCTATTTGTCTTCATCCCTCTGCTGAAGAAGTTCTACCCTGAAAGTCAGGTAACAGCTGCCCTCCCTTCCTCCTTTACATGGTCCTGGTCCCTCCTCTCACACAGTTCTTCCATTTACCCACTCATTCTTGGGCTGCCTCTTCACTTCTCCTGAGATTGTCTCCCCACTCTGAGAAATCTGAAGCTTTTGTGACTCTCAAAATGATATCTCCAAGTATTGCCCCTCAAGTACCCAAACAATGGTTCTCAAATAATGGCCCACAATATAAAAGGAAAAGCCCATCAACATGCAGAGTTTTGGGTCTCCTTCAGAGTTCCTGACTCAGTAGATCTGGGGAGGATCCAGGAAGTCCCATCCAACAAACACCTAAGTGACTAAGACGCAGCAAGTGGTCTGTATACCCGAGTTTGAGAACACTGCTCTGGAACCATCTTACCTGGTTGTGTTTGAAATGTTTGGCCAACACCCAAACTAAATTTACACAAAGTTTGTGTGAGTATAGTATGCCAGACTTTGAACTTCCTATTTCCTTCGTGGAACTGCCATACTACTACGTAACCAAGAGGACATCTTGGACTCCCTCACTTTTCCACTGCCTCTAGACTCTAATTCTCATCTAGACACCATCAAACACTTTCTAGGATACTTCTTATAATGCAAGAGATCACATGACTCTGGAGAGGAAAGAATCTAAGAGATAATCTAGACAATATCACAAGTAAAGTCCTTTCAACTATCAGGAATTTGAAACCCAGAGAGGTTAATCAGAAGCTGGAAACCACACAAAAACACCTCTGCTGGCCAGGGAAGGGACAATGAGGAATTCATAACATAGGTATTATAATTCAGTGTCTCCAAGGGACCAGGGATTATGGGACCAGATAGTTTGTATTTAATACCTAAATCTGTCATGTACTAGCTAGTAACCTAGTAATTCTGTACCACAATTGTAAAATGGGAATAATAATAGTTCCTACTTCAAGACAATGATTTGGTATGAAAATTAATATGTCAATATATAGAAAGTGTGTGGAGTAAATATTATTTAAAGGTTAGCTATCATAATTATCACCATTCTTACCATTCTAAAAGCCATGATAAATATCCCTTAAATTAAAGTTTGACTTCTCTCTTCAATACCTGTCTAACCCTGCAGACTTAAGCCACATCTATACTTTCTTTAGTTCTAAAGGACATCATTTACTCTAAAAATGTTTGCAGACACTCAGATTTTACAATTTTTATAGAGATGAAGAAAATACAAGCCAGGAGTCTCAAAAACCTTAGGTTACATTTCCACCATTTGTTTGAGAATAAAGGTTATCTATGGCATATACTACATAACTGGCATCGAGCTATTAGTATAAAATATTTATTGAGCACTACAAATGCTGCAGGCATTGCATGAGGTATAGCGTAACAGTCTCTCCAGGCCCTAACTGATTTTGGGCCATATATTTTTAAGAGAAGATGCTGCTGAGTTACTTACCACAGAATGAAAGATTCCAGGCTTTCAGGTGAAGGAAAAACCATATACTCTTAAGGGAAAAGGAAGATTTATGGTGTGTTTAGGGGTTCTGCCTATGCTTCTTCTTTAGCAATGAGTGCCACATGTGAATTTTCTAATTTTTCTGCAGAGGTTGTGCAGTGCTTGTCTTCACACTTACCAAAGCACATCTTCCAATAATAGAATTAACTATCACATAGACTAAAGAGCTCTCCTCTTTGAGGTCAGATGCTGAGGTATGAGATGACACTGTACGTTACAAATACCAGATCTCAGCATTGTGACAAAGTTTCAAGTATGTTAGCATCAGACAGGTTGGAGGGACGGAAAATTTGCAATGAAAGGCAATAAAATATTTGCAAACAAATTGGCAATTTTAGAATTTTAAAGCTAAAATATTTTCTTACATTATATCATTAGTGTCTGGTAGCCTAGTTACCTTTTTTTCTATAAGAGGAAAATATCAATAGGATGGAATTTCATCTAAACAATACTATTAGACTCAAAATAAGACACACAGGCTTAATTTTGTAAAAACAAAAGTTTATGTCTATTCTACTAGTTCCTGAATACAAGTGCAAAGAGAACTCATTTTGGCTACCTTGAAAAGACAGTAATCTCTCAAATCAGAAAAGTTTTTATTTTGTCAACTTAGTCTTTCAATAATGTGTACATGCCTGTTGCCTTATTCTTAAAAATAGCTGATGTTAAAAGGAAATAAATGAAGAGAGGAATGCCAAAAGCAAGACAGTGTCAGCCAGTTAAAATACCTTCATTTTTCTTCTCTGTTCCCTTTTTATTCTGTCTTTCATTCAGTAGTTCATACATTGACACCTAGTGCAGCTGGCCAGCCAACAACAGCCTGGAAGAGAGTGAGACAAGATACCTGATAAATTCCAATTTTAATTTCAGCTAAAATAAGCTATTTCAAAACTGAAAGGCTCACATTTTGTCTCAGATGCCAATGTGCATGCATATCCTAATTATCATTTGAATCTATTTTAAAATGTATTATGCTTATGAGCCACAATTCCAGCTCAGCTCATTTCCTAATAGTTAGAAATGCTGGATCATTAATATCCATAATGAAGTAGAACTGCAATTAAGGGTCTCATGGAAATGCCTGCTCTTCCCCAGCCCAGAGGGTTCCAGTATGAGTTGGGTAGTGTTTGGGCAGTTCTTCCTAAACTTGTAGGGAGCTCCCACCTTCAACAGGCACCTAGAAGCCTTCTCTGAATTTCGTTTGAAGAAACAGCACAGAACAGTACAGAAACAGCACATAACTTTCTGCACTGTGTCTTTCTGGAGACATTCTAGTCAAATGACCTCCAATTCATGTAACTTCTCACCCAATGATTCAGTTATGTTGAATCGTTTTTAAGAGTCAATAATGGGCTTTCCTAACCCTAACGTTTCCAAAATAGGCATATATAGTTCTGTATACAAAAAAATGTCAGTGAAGTTTTCTGAACGAATATCTGTTGTTCTCTTTCTCCTAAGATATGTCTGTTTAATATTTAATATTTCCCTTTCCTGTACTTCAGTGTCATCCTTGATACAATTTTCTACAAACACTGCTTAGAAACCTACTTAGGTAAGAGGTAAGAGGAAAAAGCAAGCGGTGAAGGTGTAACCACTTCAGAGAAATATCTTCCATACTTGTAACTTCTGCAGTTGGGTGGGAGCCAAGGCTGTAATATTCTACTCTCAAGGGTGCAAGCTGAGGCAGCCTTTCCAACTCATACTTAGAATTTAATGGGGAATGGAGATTGACTGAGAAATGCACATTTAAAAAAATTCATTCTTACTAATATTAAGTTTAAGTCCATAAGCAAAGTGGCCCCCCCAAATATATCAATAAACTCAGACTGCTATACCATTATAGAAAGTAATCCAACATATAAGAATCTAAGGAAATAAAATTTAAAACGTACATAAAAATGTATATAAAACTATATCTTTTCCTATACCATGACTCATAATAATGAAATGAAAAACTCAATACCTAAATATTTAATAAAAGAGAAACAATTAATTTAATTGGCATGGCAGACATATACATATACATATATATATTTGTATCCTGTCTGACATCCCCTATGACCTGAGTCACCCTGCAGTATGTTGACACTTTCCCACAGCTGGCACCCACAGCTCTTTACCTCACTGCCTCACAGCTTTCTCTAAGTCACAGAAAGGAAGGAATCCTTCCCTGAGAGTATAAATATGGAATGAGAAGCTGTATTAGTCAGCTTTTCCACTGCTAGGACAAAATATGTTATACCCACAACTTAAAGAGGAGAGGTTTAACTTGGCTCACAGTTTCAGAGGTTTCAGTCCATGGTCAGCTGCTTCTGGGGCAGAAACATCATGGTGGAGCGTATGACAGGGGAAAGCTGCTCATCTCATGGCATCCTGGAAGCAAGGAGTAGAAAGAGAGTCCAGAGAAGAAAGGGCTAGGGACCAGATATAGTCCCCCATGTCATGTCCCATGACCCACTCAGATAAACACACTGTGCTTCATTAATCTCCTAGATAGTGCTTACGCCAGTCATGATTACATGTCACAGAGGCCATGGGTAGCCCCCATGGTTCCTTACTGGATCTCCAGCAGAACTGTGCTTCAGACGCCCACACTGATAACTGTTATCATTGTAACCCTTCCCTGCACACACACCCAGGTTATCAACTGTGGTTACTAAGATCACTTCCAGATAAACTCCTTGCGCCCAAGTCTGTGTCATGTCAGAATTTGGAGGGCATGGGATAAGACAATTAGGCTGTATCCATGAATTAGTATGAAGTAGTTAAAATGAATGTGGCTGTGACAGCATTATGCTGGAGTTCACAACTGTGCTGAAAACTAAAGGCATACATCCTGTTTTGTAGAGGGCGCTATAAGCCAGTTACACATAACTGGGGGCCAGATATAGCCTCACCTTAGATGCTCAGAGGCAGCAAAACCTGCCTTGCTCCATCAACCTTCCCCATCTTGATGTTTATGTGAGGATAAGGAGGAGGACAGAAGTCACTCTGGCCTTTCCAGAAGCACTGAGGTCATACTGAAAAGCTTTCTCCTCCTTCCTGTGGGGTGCTTCCCCAACACCAAAGCCAAGACAGGAGGCTTCAGTGGGACTTAAGGGTTGCAGGATATTCTAAAGACAGGTGAGACTTAGGCTTCCCTACAGGAAGCATGCGGAGGTGCTGCAGCCAGGAGCCCGAGCAGGTGCTGTGCAAGAGCTCTAGGGAGGGCTTGACATATGCCCTTTGAAGCTTGAGCACCAGTAGACACAGAAAGTGGTGCTGCCCCCAGCTGAGAGATTAGTAAAGGTAAGATGCCTAGCAGAGCAGGGTGTAGCTGGTGGATTTATGGTCCAAAGTGCAGCCTGTCTGGGAAGAAGCAAGGCAGTGCTACCACATCAATTCTCTCTGACCCTTAAAGAGTGCAAAAGACACCTGGGCAATTCGTATAGACCCTCAAGAAGGAGCATCAAGATTCCAGGAGAGTGTAGCTCTTAGAAAACAGGAAGCTTATCCAGCAGAAAACATCAAAGTCCTGGACGGTGTAGAAGGCAAACACAGCTGGCCCACAAAAGAGGGCCTAATGAAGTAGCCATCAGAATTGCACTGAGGAAACCAGGTGTAGGAGGCATCAGGATAAGCATCCATCATCATCAGAGGAAACCAGAACAAAGTGGGGACCATCTGCTTACCATAGACCCAGGCCATAACTCCCTCTCTCAACACAGACAGTGATGAGATGAGAACAACGAGGAGCCATGCCTGCTCAGCACCCACAGCTCTCCAGTGCCAGGATCATGGCGTTGTCCTACTCTGGAAGGTAGAAAGAGTCAGGTTTTGAAGGTTGAAGTGTTAAAAACAAACAGAACTCACTTGGCTTTAGAGAATCCAAAACCAGGACTGTTGCAACAAGAGAAAGCAGTAGGAACACTGGGAACTTTGACCAAGATATTACTGAGAGCCAGCAGCCAGGAAGAAGAGAGCACAATGAACACAATAACTGGCAAACATTCATAGCCTCAGAACTAAAACTCTCCTGTCAACCAGCCACACTTAGAAAAAATTTCAATGATATTGAGAAATATTTATGGCAAAACACAAAATATTAATTGAAAAATAATATAATACATGAACTAGGTGAATAGAGAAATAGATAATAGATACATGATAGACCAATAATAGGCAAAAAAAGAAAATACACTAACAATATTAACGAGGTTATTTCCAAGTGGTGTAATTATGGGTGATTTTATTTCCTTTGTTAGGAAACTCTTATCTCTACACTTAAGACAATCCTGTATAATTCTTGAAATTAAAACAAGATGTTATTTTAGAAAGCTGCAAACAAAGAAAATAAATATCCAGATGCATTCTAGCTTTAAACACATAGACTCCAGCCCCTCTGCCTGAGTGCACCGCATCCCAGTCCCTGCCCAGGACTGAGATACTTGGTTGCCAACACCCCAGAAGGCACTCTTCCTCTGTTTATCTGCTGAAACACCAGAGAAGTAAAATCCTCATGGGACCTCTGCTCTCCTGCTCAACGATACACATGAAATGAAAGGTTAAAAGGAATAAATTAATGGAAAAGAGCACCACAGGAAAATTCCTTAACTTTATAGTGTCCTCCCCTCACCACATTTTGTTCACAGGACAGCCAGTCCGGGGAGGGAGAATGGGATCAGATAGCAATCCAGCTGGGCAAGGTCTCCTTTGAGACCTTTGAGACCAAAATATCTCAAACCCCTGAGTTCCAAAAACAAGTCGCCTTTACGCTTCTGAGAAAACTTGGGTCCCTGCAGCCTTGGCCCAAGCTGGAAGCAGGACCCCACAGTGGTTGCTGCCAATTCCAAACTGGATCAGCTTCAGTTCTGACTGGAGCCTTGCTTCTTCCTAATTGTGTAACCTTAGAGAAATTACCTAAGCACTCTCTGTGCTTTGGTTTCCACCATTGTAAACTGGAGCTCATTATGCTGTCCATTCAGATTTTGTTGAGATTTAAATGAGTCAATATGTGCTTGGAAGAGTGCTTCCCACTCAATCACTGCTACAAATGGTCCTCATGAGAATGATGGGGCGAAGGACTTCTGACTGACAAAGGATTATCACAGTGTTTTAGGAGTGAATCATCCAAATACTACATTTTCAGGGTCTTCTCTTGGGAAGCTGAGGAAACTTTACTGGGGAGAAGACAGTTTAGGAGTCAGAGGTCTTAGTACCACACAATGGTATTGCCCTCTTACAGATAGGACAGTCATGTAAATATGCCTCAGTGCCTGCAGTCAGAAGTATGCAGGGAACAAAACCATTTACCCCAGGGATTTCACAGACAGTCAAGGGCAGCAAATGTGAAAATGTTTTGAAAAACAAAAAGCACTGCATAGAATAAGTAATTTTTAAAAAACTAATAATTATAGTATAAGGATAAAACTCAGACTTGTCTTTTCTACTCCTTGGGAAATACTCCTACAAAATGTTAAAATGAAATTATATATAAATTTCATGAGTACATACACTCCACTATTGACAACTACAATAAAATCATGCAGCAAATCAGTACACTACACACCCTAATGCCTTAGGCCTGCACTGTTGCATACGGTAGCCTGCAGTTGCATGTGGCCATTAGCATTTGAAATGTAGCCAGTCCACATTGAGACCTGCCGTATGTGTAAGCACCCATGGGCTGATGAAAGAAGGGATGTGAAACACCTCATTTAAAGTTTTATATAGGCTGCATGTTGATTTTTCATCTGGATTGCATATTAAATTCATTATACACTGGATAATTAAGTTAAATCAAATATGTAAGATTAATTTGCAATTCTTTTTGCTGATTATTAATGAATTACTAACTTCATATTTTTTTAATGTAGCTAGAAAAGTTTAAATTACATATATCACTCACATCATATATCTACCAAGTAGTATGGCCTTAAACCACAACAGATCTTGTTTTAAGAAGTATTTGAAGCTGGGTGTGCTGGCACACAGTTCTAATTCCAACACTTGGGAGGCTGAGGCAAGAGGATTGCCAGGAGTTTGAGGTCAGTTTGCACTATGTAATGAGTTCAAAGCGAACCTAAACTACATGATGAAACTCTGTCTTAAAAAATAAATAAATAAAAAGAGGTGCTCATTAAATGGTACAAGTAAGTAAATATTTATATCAAAATACTTATTTATAGAAAAAGTTTCCAGGAAAGAATTGAAATAATTCTTCAGTGAAATATGAGTGACCTTGTGGCTGCTGAGATAGACTTTCCGTAAGCTTAAGAAAGGCAGCGGAAAGCCCCCTGGAAAGTCCATTACTTGTGTCAACTGCTGCAAAGCCTGCTTGAAAGGACATGAGAGATCGTTTGAACCAGATACTTGTGGAATACGAAACTCACACACTACTGTGACACCTTTTATAGACAGTGAGGTCTAAGAGCCATCTGCTTCCAGATCAGGACAAGGGAAATCCATGCCATGAGCTCAGTCTTAAAGGAATGTTTTAGAAGGGCCAGTAGAAGAGGCCTTCTGCTAGCTCCTATCTGTTACCTCTGCATTGCAGGCCTCTTCTCACCTGGTAATTCTATATTGTACCAACACTTCTGGAGTTTCTGCACCATGGGTTAACAGGACATAAAAATCATTTGGCTTTACAGACCAAATTCCTGGAACCAAAAAGCCAGCTGCTTCTCAGTTTAGGTTGATAGTTTATGTTTTGTGCCAGGCCACCTGAGTTCAAGACAAGGCCAATAAACAAGCTCTGGAGGCCTCAGCTACTTGCAGTGGATGTCTCTGACGCCAACCACATGATGCACCAAAGGGAAAAAGTGAAAAGAATGCATTACAATGTGGCTCTGTTTTATGGCATTTAACATTCTGTTGACTTTTTCAAAAGCAGCAAGGAGACCTAGAATTAGGATTTCTGAATACAGGAGGTTGGCAGGGAAGGGCTTAACACTAAATGAGAAAGAAGTAGTGCTCTTTTCTTCAACAGAGACCTATTTTAAGCAGAAAAAATAAAATACTGCACTGAGAAATTACAAATATAAATTCAGTTTATTTTAATTTGAATTGGTTTTAAATAGTTTTTTCAGCCAAATCTTTTTTAAAAATATAAAGACAATATCCTCATTTCACCTAATGAAGCAGGCAATAAAATTTAATTATATCTCCTAGTATTCAGGATTCAAAAATAAGTGACTATTGAGAGATAGATCTGGCCCTGGCAACATTTAAGAATTTTAAGAATATCTCTTGGAAAAAATACAAATGAAGATTCTTTTAATACTCTTCTAAAATCCTTAAGGTTACATGAAAAGCAGATGAAAATAAATGGAAAATACCAGAGTAAACAAGACACCGATGTTATAAAACTTGCAAGAAGACATAAAGAAGGGCTGGGGATAGAGCTCAGTGGCATAAGTGCTTGCCTGGCAAGCACAAGGTTATGAGTCCTATCCCCAGTACTGCAAAAAAATAGATAAATAAATAAATAAACAAAAAAATAAGAAGAAGACATAATGAAGAAAAAGACTATGGAAAATTCATGTGGATTAGATTTTTACTGATAAGCTATTCAGCAAACTGAGTCAGGTAATTTGCATGTTTGTCAGAGCTGTTTTCAGAGTTTGTCTGCTCAGGATGTTGGCAGGAATAGTAAATTAGATCTTCTCATAGCACTGCCCAAAGCTCTGTGTTGAGATGGGTTTAGAGGCTGTGTCTGATCCCAAGCTGGGCAGGAGAAAGTGCTACCATTGACTAGTGATGTCTGCATAGGGCCAGATGTGGCTGTTTTTTATACTATGTCTTTGCTTTTCTTACACTAGAAGGTGTAGGTGTCTTAGAGTGACACCTTTCCTATCATTTTACTATGTGCCAGTTCATTCAAAAGAGATCATTTCACAAGTTACTGATTGGAGCCTGAAGAGAACAGGAGATGTTATTTCCTGGGCTGACCTGTCCCCACTCCTCCAACCACCTTCTCTTCCCATATGATACTGGTACTTGCTCCTCATAACCCATCTTTAGACCCACACAAACCCCTTCTACCTGCAACACAAAAGAAAAATTTCTTCATTGTAGGTAAATTATGGAATGGCATAATCTTGCAAAGCAAAACTATGCAAAAACAAAAAATCCTTTACTACCGAGAGAAACACTATATCCTCTCCAAAGTTATTCAGTACTAATTTTTTAACTTAATTAATACCAACCTTATCCTTTAGCTCACTGCTAAAGAACGGTTACACTGTAGCATCACACAGGTACCAGGGGACAGGCCGGGTCCAGGCTTCCTTCTCTGATAACATTTACCTTGCCAGCTCCAATACCAGCCAGCTTCAGCTGTCACTGTCAATGTCACACAGTCCAGTGTCACCAGTGAGAGATGGCAAAGGCTTAACAACTTCTGAGTTTGGCTTGAAAAAGAAAGCATCCAGATGTATGCACCCACTTAGCAAAACCTTCCTGAAATCCTTATGAATCCGGTCCAATTAGAATGATATCTGTTAATGCAGAGAGTAAAATAATAGACTGAAAGTCAATTATCATCAATTCCATATGGTTCAAATTACCAGAACATAGACAATCAACACTGGCATTAGTACAAATTTGTTTAACTAGTAGTTAACTATGAGTTTGAAACCTAAGACATGCCAAGATACCTGACATGTTATTTCAGAAACATTTCAGACTGTCAATTTCCTTACAAAAGGAGATGAACCCCCATATCACAGATTTCTATTCTTTTATTAACTTTGAGCATTGATTTATTAAATGTCCATGTCAAGTTATGGAGTGGGTATCCACTGAGACCCATACCGTGGTGAAAGAGATGTGAGTGAGGAGACCAGTGTTAGTGGCATGCCAAGGTTCATAGGTAACACCTCAGACGTCTTCCCTGCTGGAACTGGAGGGGCATAGGCAAGTTCTTATAGGAGACAGCATATTAACTAGGTTTACAAAATCATGTAGGAGTAGAGCTAAACTGAGGTCCAAATGTCCACAGAAGGAATGGTGAAGGCAGGTAGTTCTGGTTCCAAAGGAGTTTGGCATAAAATTTTTTCTATTCACAGAATCCCTGGCTTGTCACTACTATTCTGACTAATCTAATTCTGTCTTGTCTGGCACTAACTAGGGCCAGTGGTTGCAATGAAAAAATAGGAAAATTAAACTACTATCAGGGAAGGGTGGACATAGTCGATGTCTAATTGAAGAAGAAAAATGTCTTTAAATTGCATAGGTGTTTTCTAGTTTGGGGACAAATGTCATATCAATTGACAGGAGAAGTACTTGGGAAGCTCATTATTGTTGCCAATATTTCAGTTCCTTTTAGTTTCATTCAAATTTTGCCTAGTTTCCTGTCACTAAGTATAAAACAAATCTAAAATCCACTTGAAAGAAAAAAATGTGCAAAGCATGAGGTTCAATTCTGCAATAACCTTCTCATGCAAAGGTTGTCACCTGAGATTGTCCACGCTGGCATTTGATTCTCACTGCATATGAAGCCAGCTCTCTTGCTAATTTAGTTTCAGGTCAACCCTTGCTCACTTTACAACAGCATTAAGGGAATTATCTTCTCTGGCTGGGAAAGGCACGGGAATCTGAGTAAGTGGAACAAAGGGCACCCTCTGCGGAGAAGCTGCCAAGTGCTTAGATTTTTCATATTGAATTACACTTGTCTCCCTGAGATGTGTGCTGACGTCTCCCTCCTGATCCACATCTGCTGAGCAGTCCCCACTCCAAAGCCAGAGTGAGCCTTCAGCTGCAGGGGCAGAACAACATTAAACGCTTCCTCTACATTTTATTATCAAAGCAGAAACAAAATAGTAGCCACCCAATTTAGCTCACATAATCAATTCAGTGAATTACAGTGTGGTGAATTCTTTGTAGATGTAAGTATCACTGGGACTGAACCACACATCTTGGCAGGTGGAGCCAGACTCTTGGTCTTGAGGAAGGGTGTAAGAAATAGAGATGGGTAGAAAGAAGACCAGGAAAACTACTTTTTAGACAACCTGCAGTTTCAGGAAACAAAAATTACTCAAGGCTTTTCCCCTTCAGTCCAAGAATCTCCTAAGGGTTTTAAAGATGCAGTGAACCTGGAAATCGGGCTGTGGGTCTGTGCTACTCTCCTGTAAACAACACTTCTCTTGCAGACCCTTATCCTCATGGAAGCGGCACTATTAAGAGGGCAGAAAATCTCAACTTCAAACATGGTGAACGGTTTGCATTCTAACACAGCAAGCACACAGTGGGAACACACATCTGAGATTGAGATGCTCATCTTGAAGACAAATGCTGAGACCATATAAATGTACTCAAGTCCAAACCACATGTGCCTCTCTCATGTGAGCATAGTCGTTCTTCTCACTGAGTGTGCTCTTTTAAAATTCGACCTCATAGATCTCTTTATGCCTCTCACTGACATGTAACAATTCTATTTTTGTGCCAGAAGTCAGTGAACCTGCACCCTACCCATGGTTGGGCGGAGTTGAGATCCCATCTCCTTTTGAGGGACCCTCCTTGGGCCCCATCCAGGGACAGCGTAGTGGCTGTGCTGAGGAGCAGCAGGCCTTCCCTGCCCTGCTCTGGGTATTTTTGCTGCCTTTTGCTGCCTTTTTAGATTTTGGAACTTTGATGAAAGTGTGGTCAGTTTCACTTGGTTGGGCACACAGCTAAAATGCTCGAAAAATATGGTTAATGTTTAAATTTTTGAAAATGTATTACAATAGAAGGCACATTAATCCCCCTCAAAATACTCTCGTCACTTCAGACATACTTATCCTGTCTGTGGCAAACCCAGATATATGCTACTCTAAATATTCATCATATTTAGAATGACCCAATCCAACACTTGTCTTATACAACAAAATCCCTCCTACAAGTGGTCAGTGCAAGCCCGACTCTTCCACTTTCTCTCACAGCACCCTGCAAAACTATTGCAATCACCAGGCACTGGATGACAGCTCCAGCAACCCGAATGGCCAACATTATTGTTTGCAAATTTTATGTTCTTCATTATCCCGAGAGCCAAAGAACCACTACCTACTCTTCATCATGACTTGATTACAGAATTCCCTAGAGGAAGCTTCTCCCTGAGGAGAGTCTCTGCCAACCTCTACCTCCCAAAGCCCCTCCCCACAGTCAAACCATCACACGACCTGTGAACTATTCTGAACACTCCACACTCTTCTGAGTCCTTAGGGAGGGCACATACATTGATTTTCTCTCCTTCCTTTTTGCTGCCACGGGTTTATGTTAAAACTGAAGGATCCCTTTGTATGCCCCACCTTCTCATTCCTGAGGTTTATGTTAAAACCAGTTTATGTTGAAACCAAAGAAGCCCTTTGTGTGCCCCACCTTCTCATTCCTCACACCCACCCTTTGATCTGCAGGCAAATGAAGCCATTCAAATATTTGTTCATCATGTCATCTGTTTCCATCCGACCTTGCAATTCCTGTCATGCTCCACATGTCAGTTTAAAGCATAATGTCATTAATACCTCCAGCGCACTAATGGATGCTTCACGCATGAACGAATTAATGAAATGTGTTATTGTTTTCCCTCACAGGACATTAACAATCTACCTCACGCTGTGTCTCCGAAGCCCTGCAGAGCTGCTGAAAACCACTAGCTATCAAATGAGCCCTCAGTTCCACCTCAGTGACTTTAAGTTCAAGTTTATCACTGAAGCGTCAGTCATGTGAGAAGAAGATACAAGCCTCTGAGGGCTTTGAGGCCCAGCTCCAATTACCATAAAGAGTAACGGGAGGCAATAGCCGCAGAGCTGGGCGACAGGGGGACGGTGTGCAGCACTGAAACAAAACCCTGTCAGGATGAAATAGGGAAGAGCCGGTGTCACCGCAGTGATTTGTTTCTTGCTTCTCCCCTTTGTCTATGGGCTGATGGTTTGAATAATGAAGATGGTATTGGTTTTCTTCTCCACTACACCAACATAGGAGGTCTGTATGGCACAGCTGACATATTAAGAGGGATTAAAGTTTATGTACACAGGCAATGTTTAAATTAGCTTCCTTAAACCCAAAAGAAATCTTTCAAGCTGATTTGCAAAATGAACGCCAGCATGGCCTCGCACCACCCCACACAGGTTGCCTAAACAGAGCGGCAGTGCTCTGTTTGGCCAGCTGTTTTGCAAAATCAGAAGAAAAGGAAAGGTAATTCCCTTTCAACACTGCCTCAGCCAGTATTTCTTCCATAATTAAAATTGAAAGCTTTCCCCAACTGGTTCTCAGAGGCTCTCCTGGAGAAACAGATTTCTCTTTCCCTGTGTAATTAAGCACAAATTGTAAGGTGTTGGAGTTTTACAGTGCAGGAGCTGACTGGTCAAAGGCAGGGGAAGCTTTTGTGTTTGGTTAGCTGTTGGGAATGCTAATTGCTTTTTCTCTCTTGCCATTAGGCATTAATCCCTGCTGTGACGGAAATCTCTCTCAGGCTGAGGGCAGCAAGGTGAAGGGAGTACACAGTTTAAAGGCCGCAGGCGGAATCACCTGCACCAGCAAACTGCAGCATAACCCAGCAGACAACTGTCTGCCCAGTGTTTGTGCCCATGAAGTGCTTTGCAATTTCTTTCATTCATGTCCTGGGATTAAGAGTTGGTGCTAATCTCGGTCTCTGAAAATTTCAAGCCACTAACCCCCTACCCTAAACATAAGCTTTTGATCACAATTAAGCATCTTATCAGAACCTCCTAGCTAGGGAACAAAATGCCGGGCTTACCTCATTCCTGGGCTGTAAATACACGAAGAACTTTGTGGAGTGCCCGTGAGAGCCATGTGTCTGCACACCGACATCCACACCTCTGAAGGGAACAAAAGCCCTCAGCAAGTTTCCCAACCTCTATGAATCACAGAGGTGAAGCAGCTCTTAAGCGGTTAGCATTTTGTTTTTCACAGATGCAGCCAGGTCACAGGGGGCTGGGGCCACACTATCCATGGGCAGGCCTCCTCCCAGAAGTGTCCTTTACTTTAGAAAGAAACGGGGACAGAGCTGTAACCACACATGACAGTTTTTCTTCCATTTTATTTCGGTCCTATAGCAAAGAGATCCAGAGCGGATCTTTGGTTCCTGTCTGCGTGGCATGCACTGAGTATAACTACCCCTTCCATCCCCTTGAGTGTAGGCGGAACTCAGGACTCTTACAAATACATGGAGTCTGGAAAGGTGATGGGGCTTTGCAAATGTAAAGGCCCAAATCAGTTGATTTTGAGTGAATTGAAAAGCAGATTATGCTAGCCAGCTGAATTGGGGCAGCACATCAAAGAAGGGGCCCATGTAGATGAGAGTCTCCTGCCTGATTTAATAAGGAAGCAGCCGGTTAAGGAAGCCTGGGGTCCAGAGTGACAAGTGTTCTTGAGGACTGGGGTAGGCTCCAGCTGACAGCTCACAAAAAACTGGGCCCTCAGTCACACAGACACAGAAATGATGTGCCAGTAACAGGAATGAGCTCAAAAGTGCGTTCTTCCCACTCACTGTCAAGGTGAAATAGTAGTTTGACCAACACTTTTACTGGAGTCAGGGGAGCCCTTAGGGGAAGACCTGAGGAAGCCATCCCTGGACCTCTAGCCAGTGGAAACTGAGTCAAACAACCTACAGTTTTAAGCTACTACAAGTCTGTGGCAGTTTGTTATCCAGCAATAGATAACTAATAGAATCCTTCATTTCTAAATGAATGGTGATTAGGTCCTTTTGTAATTCTCATCACTAATATCTAATCATCAGCCATTGATTCTAGTCTGCATTGCCCACTGGGTCCATGGTGCAAATTTTTGGAGAACACTGGTTGAGATATCATTTTCATTTCTTCATCATTTTTATTTCTTTGTCTTGCTTTTTTTGTCACTGAGGCAGTCCATATCACAAAGAGAGATATTAAAGTGAATAGAAAACAAGACCAGATAAACAGATTTAGATCTTGTTTGACACACAAATATTAGCAAGACATATATTATTTTTATTTTCATTCAGGCTTTCGAAGTGATGCTAAAAACACATGCAGAAATACAGAAATTGTATTGTTTTCCTGTGTGTTTTAATCTTCAACTCCTGCAGCCTTCAGGTCAATAAACTTCCAGAAAATTTTTGAAGTTCTCAAAAGTTATACTTTACAGATTCGATCTCTTTAGAAGCCAACTGCCAAAAACCAACAGGACTTTTAGGTTTTGGTCCCCAGCCCCCAGGGACATGACAAACTAAATCTAAAATGTATATGGTAGAGTGATCCAGGAAGGGTCAGAATAATTGTGAAGACTCCAAATACCACCAGATATGAAGAATTATTATAAATACTAATTAAAACAGTGCAGTAATTAAAAATGATAGGCCAAGAGAATAAAAAGAGAAATCTAGCACAAGATATTCATGTATTAAAATAATTATATGGAAGACATGACTTTACAAATGAGAGGGAAACAATGTTCTATGCCACAAATGGTGCCCCACAATAGCTTCTTAATTTTTTTTTTTCTGGGAGAAAACAACAGATAAATAATTCACAAGTAAAAGTTTATTTAATTTTCTCTTATTTAACTATAGAGCAAAGAAGAAAAATAAGAGTAAATAAAAATATAAGCCAGTATCTTTAAACTATAACACAATAAGTAGTCATATAAATGCTTTAGATTTCTATCACTTTGACAAAATACCCAAGATAATCAGTTTAAAGGGAAGGAAAAATTTCTTTTGGGTCATGGTTTTGGAGGTTTCAGTCCATGGTCATCTGGCTCTGTTGTGTTAGGGCTCTGTCAGCACAGAACATCAACCTTTGACTCAGCGCTCAAATATATAAATGTATATAAGGTTAATTTGTAAATGAGGAAGGTGGCCCATTAAAAATGATTTTAGCATGTTCCTGTCCCCCTCCCAAAAGGCAAATGTATGAAGATACAGTATCTGGGGTATATTTTAAAATAATAGAAGAATGGGGAGATTGTATAAAGGAATAAATGAAGAAAAATTATCATGAACTGAGAAGTACTGATGGAAGATAATGACATCTAGTGACTTAATATATTATTCATTCCAATTTGCTATATGTAATAAACAAAGTTTTAAAATATAAATGAGAAAGAAAAATCTAAACTTGATAAACTGCAGTATTTGGCTCAAATATCTTTCTAAGCTCCTCAAATAAGAAATAAAAGTTGTACAAATCATAGGTGTTATTATTTCCAGAAAATGTACTCGTGTTTATATATGTGTGTGCATATAAGCATGATATATGTACAGAGATATATAATATATTTACAGGTTGCATGTATTCATATATACAAGTATATATATGTACTTCTGGAATTGACAAATCTGTATTCTCCCACTTTCATATTCCATCTCAGGAGCCTGAGCTCTTGTTGGGGGTTACCCTCTGCGCTTGGTTTCAATGTGGTTTGCCCTCCAAAGGTTCATGCGCTAGAAACTTAGTTCCCAGTGTGGTGGTGTTGAGACGCTGGAGCCCTCTGGGACTCCACCCAACATATGCAGAAAAGATATATGTAAAATTAGGGGTAGCAACCCAGTACTGGCCCCCACACCAGCTCCTTTTACTAGTAGACAGAGAGGTTGGCAAGACTTTCTTTGAAAGTCCCCAATTTTTAAGGAATTCTAATATTCCCCACATTCAAAACTAGACACAATTATAACACATAAAACACTGCTGTATAATTATCTAACTACCTGTATTTATCTCCTTCACTAATCTATAAGCAATCCACAGTAAAAAGCTCTAATTCTTTTCTTCAAGTTTATACTCCTAACATCTAGTATAAAGGCTGTCATATAAAAAACACACAATTAATAATTAACACATGCTTGAATGAATGAATGCCAGGGTGTCCGTGTGTTCCATAGTAGGGGCTCTAAACAGAGGGCCTTCTCACTTCTCCTTACCATCTGGCATCCAAAAGCAGCACCAAATCCAAATATGACCTTGGTACCATAGAAAAAGTGTCTGTCATCTGAATCATTCCCATCTGCCTGTCGACAACCAACATAAGGTCTTGAGGCTGAGATACACCTTGACTTGTTAAGGAGGGAGAGGGTGGAGCAGATGGTGAATTAAGGTACTAAAGCTCATTAATTCCTAATGGAGGCTTCCTCCTGCATGTAATTAGAACAAAAAGGAAGAAGAGCCAAAGGAGGAGTATTTGGAAAATAAAGTAGACAGCTGGAAGAGGTTTATGAAAGATATAAACCCTCAGGGAGCTTTCCATTAGAGAGGATAATAATGTCCACACTTCACAATTACAGTTCTTTACAACACAACCAGCAAAACATTGTGCATGTGGTATTCCAATGGAGTCTCAGAAAATGACTATGATACACAGAGGACAGTTATGTTTCCAATGATTTATCAGTCTGTGGCAACAAATGGAGAAGATGACCTTCAGGCCAGTTCTAAAGGTCAAGTGTCAGTCCACCCACCTCACTGGACCCATACCACACTATCCTTTCTACTATTCCCATTGCCAGCCATTTAAGATCTCTCAGTTGCCTTCTATATCTAATACACATGTGGGTCATAGAGCTGCTTTTAAGCCTAGGATTTTTATGTTCTTATATCCCCATGAAAAGCAGTATGATCTGAAAAGTACTGAAGCCAGGAAAAAAAGGAACTATCTCCATAAGACCTACTAATGTCATTTAATTCCTTCCTATTTTTCCAATGCAAAATAAATATATTTACACATGCAGTATTATAGAAACTGAGACAAAAGGACTGGACTTGGATCTTCCAAGAAGGGTACAGTGTAAATCTGAAATAGCAGTATTAAATGTGGAGTGTTCATTATTAAGCTGCTAGCACACTTCAGCATTATCATATCAGTCCATCAAAAAAGAATTTTATCATTTGAAAAGTGATTCTTCATTAATGAACTTCTAGTTATCTCTCTCACTTGTATGTGACTTGTTTAGAAGTGAGTGCAGACAGAGTAAAGAGAATGTTCTGTTAAACCAGTTATCAATTACTTATAGCCACTAGTTCTCAGTATCTTTTCCCTGCAAGGAAGCATTCAGTCAAAATTTTTATTGGACGGAGGCCCAGGTGTGCTCCATTAATTCATGCAACTATCTCTCTTGGAGTGCTGCAGGAATTATCATGCATGAATCCATAAAGTATAAATACATTTCTAGAAATACTGTCATCTGTGTAACATATGATCCTAAAGTAACTTCATAAATTTTACCTTCAAAGTGAATCAGAGACTACTTTTTGCTAGTAGTCTTTTTGGATGCCTTTTGCTAGTAGTCTTTTTGGATGCCTTTTGCTGGTAGTCTTTTTGGATGCCTTTTGCTATTTTAGTCACTTTAACTTCACTAGACCATTTTTACATATAGAACTAGACTGGTTTTAGTAAATTGGTCCCTTTGGTTTCAACATCCTAGATTACTTTTGCTGATCTGCGACCTTTAAATCTTATTGGGTATCCTTCTGACCTGTGAGTTTCATTAGCTCAAACTTGCCTTCCAATTGTACATTCCTGAAACATATCATGGAAATTTTTTGACTGTAGTTTATTTCTGATATTGCAAACATTAAGTAGTCAAACAAGAACAACTAATTCTAAATTTAGGATGAAACCTGTTGAGTTTTAGATGTTTTGGCACAGAAAAACTGTGTAGTGCATTTAATTATTAAATCAGTTACCTTGTCCTTTAAAAAAAGTCATCAGAAAGAAGGATGGGAAAAAATATATATAGACAAAAGACAGCAGATATTGTACTACTAATTTCTATTGGTTTATTGAAAAGAACAGTTAATGTTTAATTTTTTAAATCAACTTTGCATGCCTATTTCTGGT